GTAAATCATCACTATACACTCGAACGCAATTACTAATAAGTTGGTGACAACTCTGGCTTGCATTCATTCGATAGCTTCTTCACGATCTTTGCTTTTTGAAGACTTTTCTGAGGTGGACACTATATGACTTTCGTCAATCTCCGACTTTCTGTGGTTGTCCTTTTCTCCTTTATGACATCGAAAATATTTCTGGCATTCATGGCGACTGGTAACGGAAGCCAGGGTTTTGCAGAAAGAACGCACATAAGCGCCATAGTACTCATCAGGAAGAAGGTCGTCTACATTAGAAAAAGAGGAGTCCTGAAAAAGATTGACAGTCTTTCGAGCGACACACAGGAGTACTGCTACTGATATTGGTACACGGAATGAAGACATTTTCAATCTTTTTTTTACAGTACCCTTCTGTTCTTCAGCTCTTGGATAATCCCGTTGTCAGCTTGCTGGAGTTCTGGCCCAAGATGACCTGGTTCAAATGGTAACTGTTAGGAAGCTACTTACCAGTGGAGTGAGAAAGGTCTGAGTGTGCCTACCCTCACCCGAAAAGTTGTGGACACTACACACAGTTGCAGCTGGAATGGGTGCGAGTTTCAACATGCCAGTACGGGTGTGGAGTAAAAAAAGGGTTCCCTACACCGGAGAAACAGTACCGCTTGTAGCAATTTCTCTGTTTCCTAGTACGCTTCATCTGGGCTTTCGAAACCGCCCACATATCGAAAGCAGCTCCTTTTGCTAACATTGAAAACGTCATGTGCAAGTGTCTGTCATCTAACGATTTATTACTGCGAAAGTAATATTAAATTTCACGCGGGCATGACTGAATAATGTCGCCGTAACTCCGACAATATCACAGTGAAAGCTACACAAGGTAATACATATTTACAGGATTAGCAAGGTTTTTCTAATGCAGTAAATACAGAAAAGGTAATGAATTTCTTCAATGAGCCAATTATCAAATAAAGTCATTTCGATCCCAACGGTTCGCAGGAAAATATCGTGGTCCTCCACGAGGGACGCCTTGATTAGGACGCCCAGGAAAGAAAGATTTCTCGGTTATCTGGATCGAATGGATCAAATCGGCCTGAAATGAAACTTTTTCTGAGAAACTTGGAAGTCAACGTAGCAATCCAACTAGCCTCTTCCTCCTAATGGGCCTAATGGGCCACCCTGTCCACCATATGGAGCTCCTGGACCAAACGGGTTAACTCGAGGAGGCTGAGCAAGTGGATTCATTGGGTCGGGAATCGGCTGCAGAGGATCAGGAGCCGGAAACAGTGGACCGTGTGGATAACGAGGCGGACTCGGCTGATTTGGCTGCGGTTGATTAGGCGGCACAATGATACCTCCATGGGGTACTGCAGGAATGAAAGCTTGATCCTTAAACAAATAATGTATTCATAGCGGAGTGCTTTCAAAATTAAAATCATTTACCAGCAAAGGTCCTCCTCGACGCGCTGATTTCTGACGAGCATACTCTTCTTGGTACTTTGTGCGGAAAGTTCTACCAGCTTCTTGCGCCTCCTGTACCTTCACTTGACCAAAATCACTGGAATATAGGTTTGCACAGCAACAACCGTTACAGCATTACTAGACGAAAACGTGAAGCTACTATTTGAACAATTCACCAGTTTTGACGCCCACTTACCGACTTAATGTGCGCATCCAAAATGTCCTGTCTACATCACCGACGGCGCCGAGCAGCACAAAGATCGTCAACCAGACACGATTCACTCACCTGACGAGAGCTCAGTAACGGTGCCGACGGTTCCATATGCATAAACAATTTGTCATCGGAATACACGACACTTACAGGCTAACAAACTGATGAACATATACATCCATCGCCGATATGGATCGCCTTTTGGCTTTACCCAATAATACAATTGAACTCCTCGCTACACAGCATAAGGCAGAATCCCTTAGTAAAAGTTTTCCGACGTCCCATCGCATTTTCAACAGATTATCACTTGACAGACCTCTGTTCCATAGCATGTTTCCTACCTTCTTATCGCAATCCGGCACCCATGAAAATAAAGCAGAAAGAGACAGTGAGTGTCACTGCAAGAGAAATACTCCGACAGAATCACTTTCGAGTTAACATATCTGCCAAACTTCATTACTCATCATTCTATTCGTCAGTCAAGTGAATTTTTCATTCATCAAATACAAAATACTTATCTGTTTACATGCTACTGAGATTGCATTGCGCTAAACACACCAATCACCAGTTTGCTTTGACTATTTTCGGTCTGAAGCGTCCGCCTTTAGAAAATTGTTCACAGAGTAGGCTCGTAGTTTCAAGTAGTAGTGCCAAACCACCGAGACCCTCTTACCCCACCCACAATAACCTTCGCAACTCCACGCCATTGTAACATCCGTTATCTTGCTGAAGTAGCCATCACTCCCATATGCCTCCAATAACCCTAAGATACACCGAATCAACCCACCTTTCGAGCAGAAAGTAATCTCCGCCGCAACAAAAGTATATAAAATGCTCCCTATCTAACAGCGAGTTAGAGGAGTACAACCATTAAATTAAATCCCGTAAGCTTTTGTCCCAAACATTTGCCTAACCCGAGAGCCAAACTGGTTGTTATGAGAAGAAATCGAGAATTTAAGACATACGTCTTACTCATTGCACGTACTGTACGGTTAAGATCATTGTGATCATTCTACCTTTTAATCACCCACTACTTCACCCTTAACCTATTCATGATACTATATTTAACAGACACCACAACGTTCAGCCATTCAATAATTAACAGGCAAATACTTACCATTTCAAGCCTCTTCGCTTGAAAATCGCCTCTCCTGATGCAGCTGATCTCTCCTAACCACATCAGAGCAGCATCGGTTGTGTTAGAATAATAAATCTCTATTCAGCCATGAAACACCGCTAAACTTGTGGCTTGCGAAAGCATATATCTCTGTCACTACTTACCTAGCACTCGCCCCATCTGCTAGAAAAACCACGAGATATATTCTGAAACAAGAAAAAACAAAACTCGAGACATATTTTAACAATGAAGAATCTAAAGTCTGCCTGCGCCCTCTAAGAACTTGCTCTAATCTTCTCTCCAACCCCCTCCCTACCCCGCTCATCTTTTCGACCCTCCAATTTAATTCCTCCAAGCCTTTTATCAGAGTAGAACCTCACAACGCGCCTAACAATCTCTCAACATGTGCAATCCCGAAGCCGACGGCATGTAATGCGCTGCGAGTGATTAAAACGACCAATAACATACTGGAAACCTAAGTGAAAGGCCAAATGAGTCAGATCCCAAGCAAGTAAAGTACCTCGGGAACAAGAAAAACTTGCGAGTCTCACCGTTCCGAGAACGCGATCAAATTCAGATAAAGCGCTCCATCATCGACGGCACCGATGACATTTATATTTCTCTCATGGAGTCTCCTCGTCTTCAAAGATCATTTCTCCTCGTGCGAAGTAAATGTATCGACGGTGACAAATCTGAAATAGTAATGTCCTCCAACAACAGCTGTTGATGTTGCGGATGACAGCCGCTCTACTGCCGCGTTGCCAGTCCTACAAGATTGTGGCTCGAAGATGCTTTTAAGAAATTGACATCGTGCTCAAACCCAGGTGAAATCACGTAACCCTATCACCCAATCATCAAAAAGGTCTCTGTCGGGTCGGTATCTTATCCTGTCCTGCCTGCTGTAACTAGTCCTCATGGACCAGCTAATTGCAAAGAGGATGCATCCATACTTTTTTGGCTATTTGAGGCTTAAAAACAGTGAATCGACTGTTGAAGTCCTTACTCAACTTTTCTGTGGTATTCATAGCAATTTCTGTCTGACCATTTCATAGCACACATCAATTCGTATAAAAATTTGATGACATAATTCGGACGTTATCTATCGAGAAAATGTGGTAACTACGCTTCAACTCTGTAGCTTTCAAAACAAAAACGCAATCAGACACCGACAAGCATGAGCTGGAAGCACTTCACATGGTATTCTACGAGTGCTGAAAGGGAGACCACACCTTGTTCGAAGTCTTTGCTGACTAGTTCAACGCCAAGATGGGATTCAGAAGAATGGCAGAAGAGCTTTGCAATGGCAGAAGAGCTTTGCATCGGTACCGCAATAGGTGGAATGAGCAGAGAGAAGGCTGTCTGAGGTAGTCATGCCGATTTACATGGTGACTCGCAATTCCAGTAGCCCTACTCTCTGCGTTGACCATGAGAGTTTCTTGGTGGATAGTTCCAAAACGAGATCGACTACATGCTCTTAATCCAAAGTTCTACATGGAGTAGGACCACTATCCTGTGATGCGCAGGTTCTCAGATTTCGATGCAAGGAGAGAGCCGCAAAGTCCACAAGAAGCCCCAGGAGTCACCAGACACTTCACCCCCGCTCGCTGGCTTCTGGATATTCCCGGCAAACGACAAAGCATTGACAAGAAAACGACTCTTTGAGCATCTTCGATACTGCGCCAAAGAAAATCAGCAGAAACTCCGAGGTTTCCAAGTAGTATCTCTGGGAACTCTCGAACTGATTCACCAACGAGAAGTCGCAAGAGCCCTTGGCTACTACGTCAGTCCTTGCGAAGCTATGCACAGAAGGGCAAAGGAAGGCTTCGGGGAGAGAAGAGCAGCACTAGTGAAAGAAGCAGCAGTTAGGAAGGCATTTATAACGCCTCTTCGTAGTGGTCCTGCTAGTGAAAATGTGGAAAACCGGCAGAACTGTATTACTGTAGAAGAGGGCAGAAGCCTATGGAATCGGAATTAATCCCCAATCTGCATGCTCTCTGTAGTCTACAGACTCTCCACATGAGACATCCTAAATAGGATTGGCAGAACACTAGGTGAGCCGCGTTCACTCGCAAAGGTTCAGCAAAATCCCGGATTCCGCAGAATTTTCGCGTATGAACGCAGCCTTACAACGCACTCTTGAGACACGAAAGTGGCACGTCTGGATTTACGGACCAAACAGCTTTCTTCATGATAGCGGTCTGCAAATAAAAAATGCGAAAAGTGCTTTTAATTGACACGTCGCGACGCCTTGTAAATAAACTGAACAATAAGATCTGCACAACAAAGCTCACCTGAACCAGATAATGCGATTGCAACTCCCGTTATTACATTGTCCTTGATGGATGCTGGCTGTACAGTGAACGACGAAAGAAGTTTACGCGACAAATCTGGAACAAACTTATTGAATACCTTCACTCCTTCAATTTGACGATCTCAGTTCATTTACAGAGATGACTAGAAGCAAATTAGATAGGAAAAAAAGACGCGAAATGGAAAACTTCTCGCTCTCACAAAAGAGCCTCAATATGCAAGCCATTAGGTAAGGAAATGTTGGTACGCGCTCTAGTTATGTTTACGCACTGGTAATGTATGGCCTGCATATCTGCTGTCTTTGTTTATGTTTTCTTTGGTTGTTTCGTCACTACCTGTGCAATATTACATGGATCTTACTTAACTTAAGCTGTGCCATGGTAAAGAGATCTCTAGCTGGTATGGTTATCATTCACCGCTGGAGCCTACATCTAGGGGCCCCTCCAGTCAGACAGGCTAGTCTGTGAAGAAGTTAGTGTTGGTTTCCGAAACTTAACTGTCATTCATTGAGTCAGTGAGGAAATACGCAGTTCAGAGGACAATTTGCGAAGAGCTGGCTTTCTTATTAGTCTTTTTTTTTCTTCTGGCGAAGAACTCACGGGAGAACTTTCACCTATCATTGTCTTTTTCTCAGTTCAGTATAAGCTAATATTAGTTGCAATTCGATTTAGTACAACCCAAGCGTTGTAAAAGCGCACCTATGCGTGCAGCAACAAATAAATAAATGTACCAGAAAAAACTCACCTACGATCCTTCCGACATTTACAATAGCGGACAAATTCGGCTGAGGTAGCGTTGTTATAACAATGAAAATATCCGATGTTCTATTTCGAGTGCGAAGTTCAAAACGGAGTTCAGCACCGGTGACATTACTTGTAGACCATGACTGCAGCGATGAGTTCTAAATAACAGTTTGACCTGACCTGAACCTGTGATCGAGATACTGCAGCTATTGAGCTTACTAACAGAATATCCAGAATTTTCCATATATTCCCTTGCAGCTCGAACAACATCATCGCGAAAAACTGTGGTCGCATCCGTTTCTTCATCAGACTTCATCGCGGCGTCATCGTCGTCATTCGAAGTTCCAGCTTTCAGATCTTGAGGCTCTGCTTTTGCAGCGTCGGATGTGCAAGAGTCTCTGAAAAGAACAAACAACGATGTAAATCTGATGTAAATCTTTTGAGCGGATATGTCAAGCAGCTGGATCAGTTTGAGAATGCGCTGTTCCTATGTTGCTCCTCTAAAGATTCGGCGTATAGTTGGCTTCAACGCTCTGAAATACTAGGAAAAAATGTTTTGTGCTATCTCTTATCGGCCTGGCCCGGCTTCGCCAATATGAAGCAACTATACCCTTACGTAAACCCCGCCTTGTAGTATTGACTCTGATGTCAAGAGCAAGCCTCGGAATGGAAGTACAAAAACTTCATTCTTCTAATTGCTGTATTTCAGTCACTGAGGAATGTGCTAATTGCAAGTACCGAAATATCCGGAGAAAGGACTAACTATACCCTGGTTCGCTGGCAAGAAAGGGAGGATGTCAGGCAGGTAGGTGTGTAACGCGCTGTAACCCGTCTCTTGCCAGTTACTGGGCAGAGCGTTTGAAGCGACACATTTAATAGAAAAACGAGTGATGCGAACAATAAGATATAGCCTTGTGATTTTCTTGATTCAAGAACTGGTGGAGAGTAGGTTTAGCACTGCGCCAAATGCAACCCGCCTGAGACGCCCCTTTGTCCGCTGTGAACGAGACTATATGCAAAAGTTCTGGATTACTTCTTGGCCGTTTTTGCAATGACTTTTTGGTGTCTCATCATGGTTCCACGTTTAGGTTCCAATGACCTCCTGGCTCCGGGACCACAAACCTACGATTCGTTCTGTATATCTTGCTATATGATCGCGAGATTGCACACCTCATTGCCCAGAGATGGAGAGTCCGTGGCTGCGTATTTCATTTAAGTGGGAGATAGCAGTTTTGGAACAGCTGCAAATTCGAATTTGCTCAGTGTAAGAAAATGCAGTAATTTTATCAACAGAAATATTCCACGGACAAGGCATCCCATGCAATGTTCAAGTAACATAAGCAGCCAGGACGGCTTACTCCATCGTTGTGATGTGCAGTGTGAATACTTTGTTAGATTGCTAACATAGATGCTATGAACAACGCACATTTCCATGAAGAGCCGGTCACCACTCACGAGGCCTGCCTTCTTGAGAGTCACAGAAAATCCGCGTGGTCCCAACAGTGCTGAATCGCCAATGAAAGCCTTCACGCGACCCGGTCACAACTGTAAGAGGAAATAGGTTCGCCGGGATGATGTGTATGAAAAGAATCGCTACAAAGCACTCACGACTTCTCAAGATGGGACGAGATTCTTGAGCGAAGTTCGCCCATCGTTGCGCTAGCGTCAATCTCGAGTTGGAACACGGTTCCATCTGTCCTGTTCTTTATGCTCACCTTCATCTGTGAAGAAGTTACTTTGCGTGAGTTCTTCACACGTGATTTTAGAAGAGAGGATGAAAACCAAAGCAATACTCAAGCAAAGTGTGGAGTCCAAATTTTCATCAAAATCAACAAGTTGAAATATATGACAACAAAGTACAAACAAATATCAACAATGTCACGGCGCCCATTCGAGTGAAACAAACCCTCCAAATTAAAAACTTCACTCGTCAACTTTAACTAATTTATGATCAACTAAATCCTTAGATACATCTTCCTGAAAGCACTCGGCTTTCCGTTCCTTGTTCTCCAAAGCGGTTTCGCATACGTCGAGACCATCATTCTGGCTGTTCGTCCAATCGTTTCTAGCGGCATCCGCGTGAGTCTATAAAGAATCTAGGGAATCTTTGAACAGTAGGCAGTCATTTTATTTACAGAAACCAGTTTATCGCTGCCCCAGAGGTAACCAGATCGCGGTCTATCTTTTTTGAATGGACCAAGTAACACTGAATGGCAAAAAAAGAGAAAAACAGTTTTTAATTTGTAAAATTAAATGGGTTCGAGCAAATGAAGCAGAGCATGCCACGAACTTACACGGGTCATCTTGAAATAATTCACTTTCTTATGCGTTGAAAACTCGAATAAAAGTATTTATCGGTATCTTCGCTTCTCTTAGAAAATACAGCCCTTACTAAGCGAATACTACAGTTGAACGAGCAGATTCACTATCATATTCGCACAGTCTTCGGGCATCAAAGCCGTACGCATACGCGCGGCGTTTGCTGTGGGAATTGCCCAACTAGGAATGTCTCCCACGCACCAGTCACCTATATCGCCTGCCATTCCGTTGAGGCTGCGCTCACAAGGTACAGCGTGGGGATGTGCAAAATGGCAGTTTTAGTACGACCCCCCCTCCTCTAGAGCGGTCAGTTAACGACCCCCCCCTCCCTCACCCGCCTCTAACTGAATCCAGTATGACGTTCACACAAATGACTTCCTGAAATGGAATCCGGATTTCGAAAGGCGGACTCTGCTCTAGAATCCGGGCAATACGAGGCTGAACAACAGCCTCGCATTACCTGCAATTTTATCTTAGGATCAAAATAAAACTCCTCGTTCGATAACCATGTATGACATGCAACTTGTAAGAAGGAACACAATCGAAACAGCGACTAATGGTGATCATTGATAAGCTAAATTGGTGAAAAATAGCCCCAAGGTCAGCGTGTCAGGCCCCAGATGTGCATTCAATGAATGGTGACGGGGAAATCATGAAAACATGCACGACACAACAAAGCGAAACATGAAAAATACAAAAAAATGCGGAGCCAAATGAAAAAGGATAACCAGGCGGCAGTATATCGTTCTATACTTGGCTATTATCGATCGCAACGTTGCGACCGCTTTCACTGGAAAAACGTCATTGGAGCGCGGTTGTTGGGCCTGCCAACGTCCTGGGGTCTTTTCGGGGGTTATATCTCTTTGAGGGGCGCGGCTTTTGATGAATGGTTAGCAGCATGCAACGGGAATGTTCCTACTGTTGCGTTTTCTACCCAGTTGCAATCTGAATGTTTCCCCGTTCGTGAAATATTTCGGATGGGTTTCGGATCGGCTAGGGGTAAATGGCAAGCGGGTTTTTATGCTTCACACGAGGACTACTTATTTCAAATTTCAATTTCATCAGGATTAAAATCGCCATGAAACCGCCCTATCTTTTCTCTTCCAATAAGCTTTACAGTTTTCCTGAAGACCCGCTAGTTCAGGAGATATTTTAGATGGGTCACAGACGCGCAACCCTCTGACCAAATCGACTCCTTCGGTGCCATTGTGAGGATACACCTTCGGAAACTTCAGTGTGCCTTCAAAACACATATTTCCCTTCAAATGAGTGAAAGAGGAGCTCGGCTATCACTGATCGATTTGGTCCGAGTGTGCGCCGTGCATTACGCTCCTACGCAGAGGCGGTGGAAAGGTGTAAATTCAGATTTCAGGTGCTTTTACCCATGCAAGCAGATGTTTGTTTAGGCTTTGGAAAGGACAATACACACAAATCTGTTTGAGAAGTATTATTTAGTCATCTACGTACTTACGACTTCATGCTGCTGACTGATGTTTATTTATTTATTTATTTATTTATTTATTCTTGCTCACCTACCTTCATGGAATTCTTTCCCATATCGGTCCCTGTAATTTGCCGTAGTGCTACAGTTGCGTAACAACCCGAAGGCCAATACTGAATCCTGCACTTAACTGCCATTAAAGTCTCGCAGATCCTTTCGCTTCGTCAATAGCCTCGTGGTCGGTTTATTCCCCATTCATAAAACAGCAACTTACTAGCCACAATTCAATCTGCCTCTTCGAACTTCCAAAACTTCATGGAGCAAGTGACCTACTTGTAAGTACGCTCTAGGATTAGAATATCGGATGAATTTCCATTTCACATCGAGTGGACGTATCAACATTGGTCGCGCGGTCTTCGCTAGTTTTAGCGAACCGGACTGAAGAAGTTGTTCGAGTTTGACTGGCATAATCTTGGTAACAATCTGCTACAACTAACTCCTCAAGAGTAGAGAACGAAGAATTCGATAATCCATCCTCAGCTAGCATTTCCTCATACCACTGTGACACTATAAAATTTATAGAACAATGCAACTCTATCGCCTATCAGAAACATAAGAATTTCAATCAAATACTCCTCACCGTAATTTTTCTCGAAATTGACGGCCTCTCCGGGAAGTGGTATGTAAATGTCAAATTGTGAAGCATTTTCGGAAAGCTTTTTCCCATCTTGTCCCACATCGTCTGGAGTTACTGTAGCTCCTCCTTCAGATATTCGACGGGAAACAACCTATTTGAATAAGCTCGAGGTGGTTCTTAAATATTATACAATGGAGGCTCTTGTAAGATCGACCAACGCTTGTGTCCACAACAGGACTTGATAAGGCATTGCACATTATAACTCCTGGGTTAATCAGGTAGCGCTTTCAACGATACACTAAATAGTTCATCATTCATTCCAAGTACCCATGACAACTAGCAAAAAAGCAAACAGCGTGGCCCAAAAAGAAGCGCGTGCTGGACAAAATTATCACTAGTGGACCAATTCAGTGTAATATACAAGAGCTACATAGAAGTATCCTTCCACTTATAGTCGCTTTTTGGGATGTTTGCTATCGTTTTATTTTTTTTTCTTCTTCTTGTTCAGAATCTGTTAGTGCTTATTAATATTGTCGATTCGGAAAATACTAAAATACAATGACTGCGGCAGGAGGGGAGGACGGCAGTCGACTGTACAATTAGCGTGTCACACCTCCCAGTATGGCAATTAAACAGTCTGCCGAGAGATAAGAAACGCATTGCTTTTGCCCTGGTCGCGAGCAGGTTCCAGAATGAAAGGATGGTGGGGGGGGCAAGCGTAAGCGTGGCCAAACTGCCACTCTATACCTCCAATAGCTCCGTTGTATAGGAATTGAGAAAGAACACAATGATAATTTTCACGATAATGATCGTTGAACCAACCACACCTTTTCATCAGGCGATTTAGACGTCTCCTCATACTTTGTGACATGTGTATTCTGCCAGAAACGTTGGTATGGATGTTACAGCTCATGGTCAGCACTTAATTAATAAAGATAGTCCCCAGGACGACGTGGCCAATCGGCCATCCCAAACGTACACCATGAGTCTACCTAGCACTTTTCACTTTTCTTTAATTATACGATCATCTTTCTCAAAGTCATTGAGTTTTCCTCCCCCACCCACACCAGTACTATGTGCGACAGCGTGAAGAAAAAACCTTGTAACTCCGTCAATCTTCCGCAGATTTGAAAGCAGAATTGAAATTAGAGCGAGAAAGCGAAAGCACATCTAATGCTATACGACCATCGCATAACAAACCAGTTCACTTGGAATATCACCCTTATGTACCATGACCAAAAAAGCAGAGAACATTAAGTGTGATGCTGATTAAGTTTGGTCGGCATTTTGAAATGGCACTGGTCATTGCAGCAGAAACAGCAGATCCCGCTGGGCGAAAAAGAATAACGCGAGAGTGCATCCACTCGTCTGCTAGGGTAAAGACACATCCTTAGTCTCTTCGCCACGCCCCCCACCCCCATCTCAGAAAACAAGAGAGGGGTCAAAGGAAAGAGCATCATTTCGAATGATTTGGAACTAGAGGAAGTACAGACAGTAGGATCAAAAGCAGAAGTAAATTGGACAGTTTACCTTCTGCCACGTTCCACCCTTGGCAAGGCACTTGAATATGATGGCTTCTATTGATGCATATGCTTGGCTTCCCTTCAAGAATCGAAGTGCCTTCGACGCATCCTTTGTTTCTTTCCAGCATCGGAGAGCATCCCCCACGGTGCCAAGGTACCCTGAGTTGAAATTGAGCACGAAAGTTTGAGAATTCCATTTACTTTTCTATTACTGGTCAGATATCAGACAGAGATGGTACACTGTCAAAATAGTAAGTGTGAAGGTAATAACGCTACAGAGTACCAGCAAAAAGAACCTCACCAGGTAGATTATCATTGCTGAGAATGAGCGCCACAGCAGCTTCCCAATTCCTTTTCAATATATGTTTACCCACCTCGGCTGTACTTGTACCGCAGGAACCGAAACGTTGCATCCCTGGATAAAAAGCAATTCCACCACAAGAAACCTTCAAGTGAAAACAGACAAGTAAACACTGTACCAAAATAATTTATAAATCCATTTTCTTCTAATTCTTTCAAACGACTGTCCAGAACACTTTGGTGCTCGGGCGGTATACTCCTTAATAACGCAGAGCTTACAAGAGAAATTTGTAGGGCAACAATCATTATAAGTAATTACCTCAAAATAATACTGAACCTATTTCCCCAGTGTCCTCCCATTTTCAGCTCGTCGTTGTCATATTCAAAATCATACACAATAATTGTCGTCTAAGCCTAGAGTTCAGGCTCAATATACGCTCCTAAAAAGACACAATTTCATACTCTAGCGATCTGATTGAACCGAACTCTCCATACAATAAGAGAATCTGAATTTTGATATTAAGCCGTAATACTTTTTTCCCCTGAGTTCTAGTGGGTCGGACGCACGCTAGTTACACGGTTGCACTGCCCGTGCCTACTTATTTCTTCCTCTAACAAGGGAGGTCTTTCAGGTCGTGGCGCGCTTTTCGGAAATGATTTGTTGCATGTTGTAGAGGTCCGAATAAGGATCACAAAAATGGGTTTCATTTTTGCTATGCGTTTCTGGGTAGGTCAAAACTGAGTGCAAAGTTTGCTGGGGAGAAGCGATTTTGAACCATTTTCCGAGGCTTTTTCTAGTTTATAGGTAAGTTACTGCATAGCAGATGAGACCTTCGTCGACACTGCATCGAAAACAATACAATTCAAGGTAAAAAAGTACTTTATTTGGCACATAGTGAGGCAGCATTGTAGTTTCTCAAGAGATTCTCGCAGCATCCCAACCCGCAGCTGGCGTGAGGGGGGGGTGTTCAGAGCCATGTTGGCGCGCCAAATGACCTAGACGCCAATTTTAAAGGTCAGAATCGTCATCAGGGCCATTAATAACCTCTATATACAGACTTTCAGCAAAAATTTTCTCCTCGAGATGAGCGCTTAACAGCCCCTGCGTGCGGGTTGGCAACAATTCAGTGGAAGAATGCTCTTGCAGCAAGTCGGCGCTAGGCTGCGCCGTGGTCAAAAAAATCGGAGTGCGGTAATCCAAACCGTAAACGTATAACTATCCGAAAAATGCAAAGAGTTAGTTCGCAAAGGAGGATGCCGATCGCACATAACCTTCTTCGCGAGAGCCCACCGCACTATCCACTCCGCCATCCGCCAACGCGGTTGCGAGAATCGTTCAAGTAACTGTATTACTCCCCTCCGTCCTCTTTCTAATTGGCTTTACTTTGCTATCTTTTCAATACATAGTGAAGGGAAACCTCATGAATTATGCACTGTCAAAGACAGCTACAACAGAGCCCATTAACACGGTTAAAATCGCGATTTCTCGTCAAATTGTTTTCACATCAGCTTTTTGACTCCCAGAGACGCACAGCAAAAATGAAACCCATTTTGTAAACCTTGCATGGACCCCTACAACGAGCAACAAACCATTTTTAAAAAACGCCCCACGTCCTCAAAGACCTTCCTTGTAAGTGACCTCGCTTCTCGTTCCTTATGAAGCTACCGTCAGCCGGATAGTGGGCCAAGCTGGGTTGTTAGGGGTAGGGAATATGGCATCCGAAAACCCAGCTTCAGGTATACAGGCATGCCCTGCTGCCCCTGTATGTGGTGTTATCCCTAGCACCATCCACTTGTTTTGATTTTCGGTTACCATTTTCCTCATGTATCGGGGGCCAGGTTTCACTTGTTTACTCACTACTCATTTCGCGACCATAGCAGTGGTTCTCTCGTGTGCCTTAGCCACGTTGGGGTCATTATATGTTGTCCTCATAGGTTAATAGGATCCTTATCTATCAATGTTCTCTATTAAGTTCTCAGTTGTAATTTTTTATTAGCTTTAGTTTTTACGTTCTTTAGCTTTTCTTAGATGTCAGTTAAGGAGCTTTTTGTTGTTTTCCTGACGGCGCCCGTTCTGTTTGACTGACGGTCATACAAGAAACAATAAAACTTCAAGGCTATTACTGTTGAACCTTTGCCAAAATAACCTGTCGAGTGCATCACACGGCAAACTTTGTGAGGGTGCGCTCATACTTTGCGACTCGGCGTTTTAGGTAATGAACATTTTGAACGAATTGGCGTTTTGGGCACTTACACACCTCCCTTCTCCTTATCAATGAAGTAGCCCAGCTTCGCCGTACCCGCCTCTATATTTTGTCGGAAGTGAAGATAATTCAGCATTTGGGCTGTTTCACACGACAGCGAATTACGAATGACATTCCTAGTCGTGTAGGGCAAGCCTTTGCCTTCAAAGGTATTTACTGTATTTCCTCGCCTATGTAATGGACCAGACTTCGATATTCTTCTATTTACGTATTTATTTAATACGAGAGAATCGAATCCCTATCCCTCAGCCACATGTCCTATAAGATATTTTTCTTTAAAGTGCTATTGAGGACTGGTTCATGCAATCTTTCCGGTTAGCTTTCGCTGAATAACAGCTTCTCCAGACTTTGAAACAATTGAACATGAGCAGTATTACCATCTTCACAACATCAAAGTCATCGAAAGCAATTTGTCAAGTTCTGCAACAAGTGTGCATCACGTTACACTGCATTACATTTGTAGGTCTCACAAGGGAACCCCAACAGGTCGATCCTGCCATTTACAATGAGATGTATACGTATGGACGTGTCTTGAGCCGCTGAATCCGAATCTGCCCTCCGATTTTGCGGAACGATTCTCTGAAGGGAGTTACGGACCATTTAATCTTTGCTGTGTTTGCACAAGCTGACCAGGAAAGGCCAACACGTCAGCCCGGCCATTTGCAACGAAATGTACATCATTGTACTCACCTTGCCACGATGAACACAAGACTATCTTTAAAATTTGCGGAACGATTCTCTGAGCGGAGTTGTGAGGTTTTTCTTTATTGCTTTTCTTCTTCCGGGCGCGCCAGCGCCAAAGCGTTAGCACCTGTAGCGCAACTCACAGCGCTCTTCGCGCAAAACAGGTATCATATTCGTGTTCAGGGGTCAAATAACCCCTAGAGACGTCACCCCAGCGGAATCCGAGGTTCTAACTCATTTTCGAGAAAATGGGTTATGAATAGCTGTGGCTGACTGATAGCCAAAGCGATACTACGACTACCATACTGATGATGACTGGTTTTCCAACTGAAATACCTCTTCATGTGCCTTTTCGCAAAGACATTACCCGGCTTACTTATTCTTGCCGTTTGCATCATCGTCCTCTTTACCACGAGGTAGTTCCATCTCGAGACCATTCACCAACGGTAGGTGAGCTCCCCTATGCTTTCGATTACCCATGAAACAGCACACATTTTCCAAGTTAGGTGGAAATATCAGATTCGGCTAGAAATTTGTCCCCAGGGGTAGTTTGACCCGCTGAACATGAATATGATGGTATTTCATTGCAAAAACCCTTGTGACATGTGGTTATCCTCATAATAAAAAAGTTTTCAAGAAACCATGGGGAATCGCCCGCCTTTCGTTGGCAACTAATCAAGAAATTAGGCGAAATGGCCAAATAGAAGAATTTCGGAGGGCTCATACCAAGTGTTTTGAATGAAAAGCAAAAGATTTCGATAGCCAAGGATTCCAACATTCGACCTCGTGTCTCTGAAGCAATGCACTTATCCACTAGGCCATCGGCGGCTTGCCGCATGCAGTTATCCTTCTCAACTTGAGCAGAGCTAAGATTAAATGGTCCGTAACTCCCTTTGGAGAATCGTTCCGCAAAATCGGAGGGCAGATTTGGATTCGGCGGCTCAAAGACAGTTTCTGCATTTATAACATCTCACTGCAAATGGCCGCGATCGACCTGTCTGGGTTCCTGTCAGGACCACTGCATTAAGAACTTGACGAAGTTATTGTGAGAAAGCTTGCTTAGTGCTTACGATGAACTTAATTTACTAAAGATGGCAGTACTGCGTATGTCTAATTGTATTAAAGGTCTGAAAAAGCTGTTACACAGGAAGACCTTGCCAAAAAAAGACTTCATGAACGAGTTGTCAATAGCACTCAGATGAAGAAAATCAAAGTTGAATAGTAAACCTTGGAGGGAACCAAAAAACTAAGATATACAAATGATACTGAAAAATTTGTTGCTGTGTTCAAAAACTTTCACACACGTTGTCGGACTACGCAAATAACCGTGCTTTATACCTCCAAAAGAACGGGGTATTTCATGAACAAGCTACTTGTGACGCTACTGGGGAGATTTTCGGGAGCTGTTCGGCGTAGTATAAGGAGGAGGGACGGGGGAAGTGAGGCATATGGAATTCGGAACTGAAAACAAAGTTCGTTCTATTTCATAGCTTTACAGGAATTCACACGTCTCCATAGGACCCTTTCAC